GAGGAGCTGGACAATTCGTCAGTTTCACTGCAGTCAGTAAGTGTACAGTGTTATTCAGTTATGGTTGATGCAACAACGCAGACGGATGTTGACAAGTGTGACGCAGCAGTACAGTGTTCAGTGGATGTGTGTTACTCGGTTAACACTGACCATATTTATGCTGCAGTGCCAGCTGAAGAGGGCGAGGGAGGTGAATTAGTAAATCAGGGTGGTCAGTCCCAGGATCTGTTCTTTTCAGATAATGAATTTAGTGAGGGAAGTCAACCACAAGATATACAGTCTGATTCAGAATACAATGCAAGCTCATCTGAGCCTTCTCAAAGCACCCAGGAATCTCAAACTTCAAATGACAGCCATAAAGACAGGCTGTTTATTGTTTTTGAGGAACAGTTAAAAAAATTACTACAGCGTTGTATAAAGTGTGGCTCTTTCATATCCTCCATGATTGCCATGGAGGATATGAAGGAGATGGAAAATGAAGGATCACAGCTGACTCTGGAGCTCACGTGTGCTAATGGCTGTAGTTACAGATGGCAGTCTCAGCCTACTGTCAGCGGTACCAAGGGTGTTGGAAACCTGCTATTGGCAGCGTCGGTGTTTTTCAGTGGCATTCACTTTGCTAAATTTGAACGGTTTTGTAAGAACATGAACCTCAAAACAATAAGCGAAGACACATACACAACACTTAGGAAGAAGTATGTGTTCCCAGCTATTGAGAAGACATGGGCCAAAGAACAGAATGCAGTGTTGGGCAGTATGAAGTCAAGAGAAGTTGTCCTCTGTGGAGATGGCCGGTGTGACTCTCCCGGTCATTGTGCCAAATACTGCACCTACACTTTTATAGATGTGGAGAGTCAAAAAGGTGCAGACTTCAAAGTGATAAGCTGCACCCAGGTTTCAAGCTTGAATGCCATGGAGATCAGAGGTTTTAAGGAAGCTCTTAAATCCATAGAAGAAAATGGAGTGAAGGTCTCTACCATTTCCACGGACAGGCACCCACAAATTGTCAAAGAAATGAGGGCCAGTAACCCAGAAAAACACCATGAATTTGACCCCTGGCATGTGGCAAAAGGAGTGTCGAAAAAACTGGCCATTGCAGCTAAGAGGAAAGAATGTGTGGGCCTGGGAGAGTGGATACCATCCATTGTTAACCATTTATGGTGGAGTGCCCAAACCTGTGAGGGTAATGCTGAGGTGCTGAAGGAGAAGTGGGTGTCAGTAATACACCGTGTTACCAACCGGCATGACTGGCCAGGCAACAAGCATTACCATAGATGTGCTCATGAGCCCCTTGATGAGCTGAC